GAGTGTCTCTGCAGGAGAAGAAACAGATCTTAATGTTACACAACACCCACAGAGCCAAGGTTGGTTCTGTATTCTGTCTGTCTGTCTTGTGTGTGTGTGTGTGTGTGTGTGTGTGTGTGTGTGTGTGTGTGTGTGTGTGTGTGTGTGTGTGTGTGTGTGAAAAAATCGCGAACAATCGATTCAGGTTACAAAACAACCACAGTGGGTGTTGAATGATAGCTCTAAGCCTTTCGTGTTGCAATCAACACATCATCAGGAGCTTGCAAGGCTGCAGAAATGAGTAGGAGGTCCCAGCAGATTCGTTCGGAGGAATGAGGTAGGAAGGCACGAGACGTTTAGTGCCCCAAGTATACGTGCCAGAAAGATTCAGGGCTGACTATTTTCTATTCCTATAATACTCAGTCCTTCCAAAAATGCACGCTTCCGATATTAATCTTACTTTAGCCTCTTTCTGTCCTGCCTTGTAACCTGAGGTACAGTGTTGTTTAAGTGTTAGAGGTGTAATTCTCGACGCGTGAGAGTACCTCACATAACTTCTAACTCCTAATCTCAGAGCATATCGGGAGATCATTCCGTGCTGGCCTATATCTAAGTACTTTCACTCTGATATCAGAGATCACTGTGGCATATCCAAGCACGGGTTTACCTCTGTGGACTTCAAGTCTGACCTCAGTACCACAGAGTCTTGACCTCATCTCTGAATCATACAGCTCTCAACTTACAACCCCATTACATCTATACAACTGTTCACTAACGTATTTTATTTTCTATGTGTGAGTTTAGAAGTCTGTATTAGTAGTTAGATCAGTCCGTTATAGTAACAGTATTTGGTGAGAGTTGTGTAACATAATCTTAACTTCTGTGTATTGTTTTTAATAAAATATTATTGCAAACCAGCTATTCTGATTGGTAACCTGTATTCCTTTTTATTTTAGCACTGATGATGCAGTTTGAGATACTGAAACGTGTGGGACATTCATATTTTTTCTTTTTTTTTTTACCAAAGATTCAGTACCTCTGTTCCTCATACATCTTAAGAGCCTCTCGTTCTTTCAAGGGCACTTACCAGTGTGCTGAAAATATATATTACACTAAATAAGAATTTAATTAATGTCACAAATCTCAAAATTCACTTGTGCAAAGAAATTAGGAGACCAGGTTAATCTAGGGCAGATTGCAGTAATGCTTAGAAGTCTACTGTAAAGAGGACTGTGGACTGTGAGTTGTTCTTGCTACGGTACTGTAAATTTTATTTGTTTCTTGCCTCTCCCAGGTGGCAAGAGGAGACGAACAGCTGGGTAACCCGGGTCCCCAGCCACCGGCTGCCAACATGGGTGTTTTGGTGTGGAACGACGAACTGGCCGAAGTTGCTCAGGTTAGTGTTGTGCATTATTGTTGTGGTAGCAACAGCTTGGGAGACCAAAGCCACGAATAACAGAGCATGCCATATTTGAGCATTTCGAAGGTAAATACATGTTTATTATGCTTTAAGTGCATGTGCTCTACTTAACACGAGAGTATCCTTTTACCTGTCAAACCAACAACAGCCTGATTGACCAGGCAGACAACAGTGGAAATTTAAAAGACACATATAAGAAAAGAAGGTCTTTTATTACTGCGTTTTACTTTCAAATAATTGGAAGGTCGTGAGAACATATTCTTCTTTTGCTGGACGTGACTTTTCCACAGCCACACACTACAGCCACACACCACAGCCACACACCACAGCCACACACCACAGCCACACACCACAGCCACACACCACAGCCACACACCACAGCCACACACCACAGCCACACACCACAGCCACACACCACAGCCAACACCACAGCCACGCACCACAGCACACACCACAGCCACACGCCACAGCCAACATACCACAGCCACACACCACAGCCACACACCACAGCCACACACCACAGCCACACACCACAGCAAACACACCACAGCCACACACCACAGCCACACAACACAGCCACAGACCACAGCCAACACACCACAGTCACACTACAGCACACAAGCAACACACCACAGCAACACCACACACCCAGCAACACACCCACACCAATACACTACAGCAACACACACACAGCCACACACCACAGCACACCACACAAACCACAGCCACACACAGACAGCCACACCACCACAGCCACACACCACAGCCACACACCACAGCAACACACCACAGCCACACACCGCAGCCACACACCACAGCCACACACCACAGCTACAAAAAAACACCACAGCAACAACACGACAGCCACACACCACAGCCACACACCACAGCCACACACCACAGCCCACATACCACAGCCACATAACCACAGCAACACACACAGCCACGCACCACAGTCACACACCACAGCAACACACCACAGAACACACCACAGCCACACACCACAGCCACACACCACAGCAACACACCACAGCCACACACCACAGCCACACCACACACAAGCCACACACCCAGCACACCACCAGAGCAACACACGACAGCCCCACAACACCACAGCCACACACCACAGCCACACACCACAGCCACACACCACAGCCACACACACCACAGCCACACACCACGCCACACACCACAGCCACACACCACAGCCACACACACAGCCACACACCACAGCCACACACCACAGCCACACACACGACCACGCCACCACAGCCACACACCACAGCCACACGCCCACACGCCCACATACCACAGCCACACACCACAGCCACACACCACAGCCACACACCAGCACACACAACAACAGCCACACACACAGCCCACACACCACAGCCACACACCACAGCCACACACCACAGCACACACCACAGCACACACCACAGCCACGCACCACAGCCACAACACACAGCACAACGCACACACACCACAGCCACACACCACAGCCACACACCACAGCCACACACCCAAGCCACACACCACAGCCACACAACACAGCCACAGACCACAGCCCAAACACACCACAGTCACACACTACAGCACACACCACAGCAACACACCACAGCCAAACACACAACACCACACAACCACACTACAGCAACACACACAGCCAACACACCACAGCACAGCCACAAACCACAGCCACACACCACAGCCACACACCACAGCCACACACCACAGCCACAGCACCACAGCAACACCACAGCCACACACGCACCACACACACCACAGCCACACACCACAGCTACACACCACAGCAACACACGACAGCCACACACCACAGCCACACCACACACAGCCCACACACCACGCCACATACCACAGCAACACCACACAGCCACCACCACAGCCACGCACCACAGCCACCACACTCCAGCCAACACACACCAGTAACACACCACAGCCACACACCACAGCCACACACCACAGCAAACACACCAACACCCACACACCAACAGCCACACACCACAGCCACACACCACAGCTACACACCAGAGCAACACACGACAGCCCACACACCACAGCCAACACACACAGCACAACCACACCACAGCCACACACCCACAGCCATCACACCACACCAACACACTACAGCCACACCACAGCCACACGCCACAGCCACACACCACAGCCACAGCCACAGCCACACACCACAGCCCACACACCACCAGCCCACACACCACAGCCACACCACCAACACCACACACCCACAGCTACACACCACAGCTACACACCACAGCTACACACCACAGCCACACACACAACAGCCACACACCACAGCTACACAACCACAGCTACACACCACAGCCACACACCACAGCCACACACCACAGCCGCACACCACAGCACACACCACAGCCCATACACCACAGCCATACACCACAGCCACACACCACAGCCACACACCAAACACACACACACACACAGCCACACACCACAGCCACACACCATCAGACCACACACCACAGCCACACACCACAGCCACATACCACAGCCACACACCACACACAACGCAATCAGCCACACACCACAGCCACACACCACAGCCGCCACACCACAGCCACACACACCCGCACACACCACAGCCACACACAGCCAACACACTACAGCCACACACCACAGCCACCACAACACAGCCACAGCACCACAGCCCACACCCACACACAACACACACACCACAGCCACACACCACAGCCACACACCACAGCCACACACCACAGTCACAACACACAGCCACAAAACCACAGCCACGCACACACAGCCACACACCACAGCCACACACCACAGCCACACAACCCACAGCCACACACCACAGCCACACACCACAGCACACACCACAGCACACACACCAGCAACACCAGCACACACCACAGCCACACACCACAGTCACAACACACAGCCACACACCACAGCCACACACCTCAGCAACACACCACAGCAAACTCACCACAGCCAAACAACCGACAGCCACACACCACAGCCATCAACACCACGCAACACACCACAGCACACACCACAGCCACACACCACAGCCACACACCACAGCTACACACCACAGCCAACACACGACAGCACACACCACAGCCACAACACCACAGCAACACACCACAGCAAACACCACAGCAACACACGACAGCCACACACCACAGCCATACACCACAGCAACACACCACAGCCACACACACAGCCACACACCACAGCCACACACCAGAGCAACACACGCACAGCACACCACACGACAGCCACACACCACATCCACACACCACAACACACACACCAGAAACACACCACAGCCCAACACACCACAGCCAACACACCACAGCCAACACCACAACAACACACCACAGCACACAACACAGCAAAACAACACCACACCCCAGCAACACACCACAGCCACCACAACCACAGCCACACACCAGCACCACTACCACAGCACACAACACGCAAGCCACACACCACAGCCACACCACCACAGCTACACACCACAGCAACACACGACAGCCCACCACACACCACAGCCACACACCACAGCCACATACCACAGCAACACACCACAGCCACACACCACAGCCACGCACCACAGCCACACACCACAGCGACACACCACAGCACACACACACAGCCACACACCACAGCCACACACCACAGCCACGCACCACAGCAACACACCACAGCCACACACCACAGCCACACACCACAGCCACACACCACAGCCACACACACCACAGCCACACACCACAGCCACACACCACAGCCCCACAGACCACACACCACAGCCACCACCACAGTCACACACACAGCCACACACCACAGCCACACACCTCAGCAACAACACACACAGCAAACTCACCACAGCCACACACCACAGCTACACACCACAGCAATACACGACAGCCACACACCACAGCACACACCCACAGCAACACACACACACAGCCACACACCACAGCCCACCCAAACACAACACACACACCACAGCCCAACACACCACAGCAACAACGACAGCCACACACCACAGCCATACAACAGCAACACACCACAGCACACACCACAGCCACACACGCACAGCCACACACCACAGCAACACACACAGCACACACGACAGCACTCACCACAGCACACACCACACAACACACCACAGCACACACACACCCAGCACCAACACACCACAGCAAAACACACCACAGCCACACACACACAACACACAACAGCACACACCACAGCAACACACTCCAGCAACACACCACAGCCAACACACCACACCACACACCCACAGCCACACACCACGAGCAACACCACACCAGCACACACCAGCTACACACCACACAGCCAACCAACACACACACCAAACAACACCACACCCACCACACCACAGACCACACACCACAGCACATACCACAGCCCAACACAGCCACCAACGCACACCACAGCCAGCACCACAGCCACACCACAGCCACACACCACAGCAACACACCACAGCCACACACCACAGCCACACACCACAGCACACACCAGAGCAACCACCACCCGCCACCACCACAGCCCCACCCGCCACACACCACAGCCACACACACAAACACACACCACACACAAACACACCACAGCAAAACACCACCACAGCAACACACACCACAGCACACACACACCACAGCCACATACCACAGCAACACACCACAGCCACAAACCACAGCCACACCACAGCCACACACCACAGCACACACCACAGCAACACACCAACAGCCACACACCACCAGCCAACACCACTACACACCAGAGCAACACACCACAGCCACACACCACAGCCACACACCACACCAGCCACACAACAACACACCACAACAACACACCACAGCAACACACACCACAGCAACACACCACAGCCACACACCACAGCCACACACACAGCCACACACCACAGCCAACACACACAGCAAACACACCACAGCAACACACCACAGCCACACACACAGCAAGCACACACCACACACCACACCACAGCACACACACACAGCCACACACCACCAGCCACACACCACAGCCACACACCACAGCCACACACACAGCACACACACCACAGCACACACCACAGCACACACACCACAGCCACACACCACAGGACAGCCACACAACACAGCACACACCCAGCCACACACACACCAAGCCACACACACAGCCACACACACCAAGGACAGCCACACACCACAGCCACAACCACAGCCACACCACACCACAGCACAAAACACACACCAACAGCCACAACCACAGCAACACACCCAGCCACACACCACAGCCACACCCACAGCAACACACCACAGCAAACACCACAGCACAGCGACAGCCACACACCACAGCTTTCACACACGCACAACCACAGCCACACAACACAGCCACAACACCACAGCCACAACCGAGCAACACACAGCCACACACACAGCCACACACCACATTCACACACCACAACAAATCACACCGCAACACACCACTGCAACACACACACAGCAACACACACACAGCCACTACACACCACAGCAAACACCACAAGCACACACCACAGCAACACATCTCAGCACACACACACAAGCACACACCACAGCATCACACACCACAGCCACACCACCACAGCAAATACCACAGCCACACACCAGTAGCACACACGACAGCCACACACGACACCGTCACACACAGTAACATCACACACCACAAACACACCACAGCCCAAAACACCACAGCAAACCACAGCAACACACAAGCCAACCAAACCACGCACACAGCCACACACCACACAGCAAACACCAGCAACACACCACAGCCACCACCAAGCCACACACCACTTAAAAAGGGGGACACCACAGCACCTACCACAGCAACACACCACCACACACAGCCCCATCCCCAAAAAACACACCACACACACACCACCAAACACACACCCGCCACACAACCAAGCCACACCCACAGCCCCCAAAACCACGCAACACCCCCACAGCCACAAAAAACGCACGCACCACAGCCCACACCACAGCCACCACCACAGCAAAACACCCAGCCCACACCCCAGCCCCACCCCAAACTCACACCAGAGCAAAACCCCCACAGCCCCACCACAGCAAACACCCGCCAACCCCAACAAAACCCCCCCACAACAACCCCCAGCAACCACCCAGCAACACACCACAGCCACCCCGCCCCCACCCAAAAAAGCCAAACCACGCAAACCTCTCCAACACCCAAAACCCCAGCAAAACCCCCACAGCCCCCACCCGCCCCAACCCCGCCCAACCCCACCCCCCCACGCCCCCAAAACCCAGACACACCAAGCCACACACCCAGCCCCCACACCACGCCACACACCCCAGCCACCCCCACCACAACAAACCCCCAAACCCAAAACCACACCCCGGGCAACAACAACAGCCAAAAACCCACGCCCCACCCCACCACAGCCACACACACAGCCAACACCACAGGCAACACACCAGCCACACACCCAGCCCCCAACCCCCACCACAGCCCACACCCCAGCCACACCCCACAGCCACACACCACAGCCACACTACAACACAGCCACACTAAACACAACACACACCACAGCCAACCACCACAGCCACACTACAACACAGCCACACTACACCACAGCTACACTACAACGCAGCCACACTTCAACACAGCCACACTACAACACAGCCACACTAAACACAGTCACACTACAACACAGCCACACCACAACACAGCCACACTACAACAGCCGCACTACAACACAGCCACACCACAACACAGCCACACCTCAACACAGGCAGAACACAACACAGCCACACTACAATGCAGCCACACTACAACACAGCCACACTACAACTCAGCCACACTAAACACAGCCAAGCTCCATCTACCAGTCATCAATAAAGTCTTCAAAAGTATGACTCATGAAACCATTCACAGGTATATCTCTAAAAAGAAATATACCAGCGATGCTCTTCATTATGTATATATGAACTCATTCATTATGAATGCTCTGTGAATAACTGTTTTGCATAATTCCAGTTTCCACCCACGCAATGCTTCTTTGACAGTGTAGAAATTAAATACGAATAATACACAGTTATTAGTGAGCAAAATTAGCTATGAATAGATGAAATGTTGTATTGATAACAACGAGGACAATGACACTTGTTCATATTGGGACGACATGTCGCTCTGTGTCGTGATAAGACTACACAGAGTAAAATGTTTTCTGTATGAAGGCTTGTTCAGTAAATGGTCTTCTTTACAAGACGTAAGACGTATACTTAAATTATACTTAATGCTGGCATCCGTCATCTTTACACACACACACACACACACACACACACACACACACACACACACACACACACACACACAAGAAGAGGTATGATAAAGCTCAAGGAGGAGGGAGAGAGTAACCTAGTAGCAACCAGTGAAGAGGCGGAGCCAGGAGCTATGAATCGACTCCTGCAAGCACAGTCAGGTGAGTACACACACACACACATAAATTCACTAAGCGCCAACCTGTTATTAATTATAGTATTCTCTCTCTCTCTCTCTCTCTCTCTCTCTCTCTCTCTCTCTCTCTCTCTTTCACAGGCCTGGGCTAATCAGTGTCGTCTGTCCTACGATGGTTTTGACGAACGACGTATCTGCTCACGGAAGTACATCGTGGGACAGAACTTGTACTTTAAATTAGCAGGGAACCTTTCTGCGGTAAGTACCTTCATTCTGGTGAAGGTCTCTTGATGTAAGGGATAATAAGTACCCTCCTCTTCAATGAATCACGTCCAATTAGCTCATAATCAACAGGCACTGCATGGCGATAATGACTTAAGTGCTTATCCGTGCATGCCTCTCTCCGGCATCAAGGAACTTTCCTTTCAGGATGGTGCCTTGATGAAGATGAGGGGCTCTTGATGCAAGGAATTAGACCTGTTCTCCCCTTGACTGTATCGAAACAGATTGTCTCTCTTTCCCCATGAGTTCCTTGACCCCGTAATAGATTAGCGTTTTTCAATAACAACGACAATAATAATAATGATAATAATAATAAATAATAATTATAGTATTAATATTATTAAAATTATTATTAATAATAAATAATAATGTTAATAAACATTAATAATAATAATAGTAATAATAATAATAATAATAATAATAATAATAATAATAATAATAATAATAATAATAATAATAATAATCTATACAAGTAATAAACACATAGAAGAAACTCCTTAGTTGCTCAAAGAGCTTTTTTTTTCCAGCTTAAAAAAAAAAATTTCCTTAACATTGAATTGTCTCAAATGAAAATTTGCTCTAATGAAAATATTTGTCTTCTCTTCCTTGGTGGCTGCTGGCAGACCTTCACTTGTTGTCTTCTTGTGGCTCTTTACAGTAGATATTTTTTTGGCTGATATGTTTGTTGTGTTAGAAATATTACTCTGAATGAATTGGAGACCTTTGAGTTTTCTTGTGCTAGCATAAATATTCAGGTAAATGTCTGTAAATATATGAATACTCAGGCTTTTTTTTTTTTTGTATTTTTTTTCAGACACTTTTTTATTCTGATTTGTGTGTGTGTGTGTGTGTGTGTTGTGTGTGTGTGTGTGTGTGTGTGTGTGTGTGTGTGTGTGTGTGTATGTTTACTTATGTATGCTAACAGTTGTAAAGATTTAGCTTCTGTCTCAGCCTCTTAACTTGCAGTTTACCAGATTCTCTCCCTTCTAGCTTTATGGTCCCTATTATTCTTGTGTGTGTCTTGGGGAGCGCGTTGTTGTGGGTGTAGTGGAGGGGGTGGTTAATGACTACAGCAGTGGAGTGCTCACATGATCCTACCCCTGACTTATCTTCGCCACAGAGCTGGCCAGAAGTCATCCATCATTGGTACCTGGAAGTGGCTAACTTACCCAGCACCTTCGTTGACAGCTTCCGAGTCAACTCCTCGACTAAGAAGTTCACCAGCTACACCAAGGTCGGTCCTAGCTACACCAAGGTCGGTCCTAACTACACCAAGGTCGGTCCTAGCTACACCAAGGTCGGTCCTAGCTACACCGAGGTCGGTCCTAGCAACAAAAACAGAAAAAAATTTTTTTTGTTTGTTTGAATCGGTAAATATATGTATTATTTAACGAAAGGAGTGACGGCTCGATCCTCCGTCAGGTCAGAGAGAAACAAAAACTCTTATCTCTCAACAAGGTTTTCCCAACCCCAGGAAGGTTGTACAAAATTCTCATCAAGGAATTCAGATATTTGTACTGATGACAATGAAGGGCTCCTCATCTAAGGAACTAGAGCTGCTCTCCTCTCTCTGCTCAAACATGATTACCTTCCATTTCCTAAGCGCCGAATGACCCCAGCGGGTTTAGCGCTTCCAAATGAATCTAAAAATGGTGTGCCTATATGGAATATATAAACATCTTGTGGAATGGAATCAGCTCTGATCCGAGGAAGTGGAGAGCGATTCCAATTTCTTTGATCAAAAGCACTTTACCAGCATGAAAGCAATCCTCTTAGGGAATGAGAGAGTATACTTAGGTAGTGTGTATGTTTCTTGACTAGCAAACAGGGGTTCGAGGCAGCGCTTTTGCTAAACCCAAACGGGTTTAGCGTTCCACATAAGATTAGATATTATGAAACCCAGTAATTAACTGTTAAATATCTTATTTAAAAAAACATACAATAATATATACATATTAATGAATATTTTATTATATACATATATGTGTGTGTGTGTGTTGAGTCATCCCGTATCTTATCTCTAAGTCTTCATTCTTAGTGGACAATGTATTTTCTGTGTATGTTTCATAACTTCCTTTATCAGTATTTATCAGTCACTATACTGTGGCTGGTAACAAACAAAACCATAAACCAGGATTTGATATTGGATTTTTTATTATGTTTCTGTCCATTCTGCACTATTATCAAGTCAAACTCTATATTTTATAGTTATATATGAACAGAAGCTGTACTACCAGCAGTAATGAATGAAGACATTGCAAAGAAAGGTTTTAGTGTGACACAAGGAAATATTATTCTGCAGTTGAGACTTTTAGATAGAAGTACGTGGGAGTACATGGGTATAGTACATGGGAGTACATAGGAAAGAGAGATAGCAGAGGACTTGTAAGTCCACACGGAGGTTATCTGTTGGGAAGAACTCTCTACTCCTACCTAGATTATAATGATATGATAATGATGATAATGATATCTTTATTTCTACAAGTACATGTACAAGGTATACAGACCATAGCTGACATCAGTGACGTACTACTATATAGAAAGCCCCTTGTTATGCAGAGCATTTCGGACAAATTAGGTTAGTTTTGTCCCAGGATGCGACCCACACCAGTCGACTAACACCCAGGTACCCATTGTACTGATGACAAACATAGACAACCGGTGTAAAGAAACACGCCCAATGTTTCTACCCTCGCTAGGGAATCGAACTCACGTGTATTATCCTGAACGAATCCAGGATAAAAGAAGAAGGCTCTTATCACTTAAGTTATTTACAGTGCTGCTTCCTTTTTCAATACTTGTGTACTCAGTGATATTATCTTCTCGCTAAGTTCACCGGGAATTCTCTTCAACCTGTGTTTCATTCTCCTCACGCAGATGATCTGGGGCGAGACACGAGAGGTGGGGTGTGGTGCTGTCTACTACCTTCAGCGTGAAGTACAAGTAAGCCACCTTTATGTGTGCAATTACGGACCCTCTGGCAACACCATAGGGGACCCTATTTACGAGGTGGGGCCCCCAGCCACGGCCTGCAGCAGCGGTGTTCCATCCACCACCTATAAGGGTCTCTGTGATGTATCTACCAGTCATTAAGATTTACGACACATGATTCTGTAAACTCACGACATAGTGAGGAACACACACATATACTGTATAACAAGCTTGTCAATATTAGTGGTATAATATTAAGAAGACGTTTCGCCCTCCAGAGAATTTATGAATTCACCTTAATAAAATCTCTAAGGAGCGAAACGTTCTCTCAAAATGCCATAAACAGCAAATACTGTTTTAGCACAAGCTTTTCTTGGGACGTCTATGTCCCAATAAAAGCTTGTTCATCACTGTGTGTCTATTCTTCGCTGTTGTCAACAGCAGTCTAATCAATATCACGTTGAGTTGAATTGTAATCTTGAAGCGAAACTTAAACGAGTTTCCAACCAAAATTGTTATAGACTAACAATATACTAACTTGTATACTTAACTGATAATAAAGACAACGCATTTCTCAATATATTTTATACACTTCCTGCGAAACTGTGTTTGAGTGAATGACGGTGAATGTGATTCCTTTTTTTCTGCGGGTCACCCTATCTTGTGGCCCGGAAATTGTATCGACAGCAGGCGCATAATAATAATAATAATATGTATATATATATATATATATATATATATATATTATATATATATATATATATATATATATATATATATAATATATATATATATATATAAGTATGGATTTGTCAGTTAAAAACAGAGTAGGGGAGTTAGTAGATGGGGAGAGGGAGGTATTAGGTAGATGGCGAGAATATTTTGAGGAACTTTTAAATGTTGAGGAAGAAAGGGAGGCGGTAATTTCATGCACTGGCCAGGGAGGTATACCATCTTTTAGGAGTGAAGAAGAGCAGAATGTAAGTGTGGTGGAGGTACGTGAGGCATTACGTAGAATGAAAGGGGATAAAGCAGCTGGAACTGATGGGATCATGACAGAAATGTTAAAAGCAGGGGGGATATAGTGTTGGAGTGGTTGGTACTTTTGTTTAATAAATGCATGAAAGAGGGGAAGGTACCTAGGGATTGGCGGAGAGCATGTATAGTCCCTTTATATAAAGAGAAAGGGGACAAAAGAGATTGTAAAAGTTATAGAGGAATAAGTTTACTGAGTATACCAGGAAAAGTATACGGTAGGGTTATAATTGAAAGAATCAGAGGTAAGACAGAATGTAGGATTGCGGATGAGCAAGGACGCTTCAGAGTGGGTAGGGGATGTGTAGATCAAGTGTTTACATTGAAGCATATATGTGAACAGTATTTGGATAAAGGTAGGGAAGTTTTTATTGCATTTATGGATTAAGAAAAGGCATATGATAGAGTGGATAGAGGAGCAATGTGGCAGATGTTGCAAGTATATGGAATAGGTGGTAAGTTATTAAATGCTGTAAAGAGTTTTTATGAGGATAGTGAGGCTCAGGTTAGGGTGTGTAGAAAAGAGGGAGAATACTTCCCGGTAAAAGTAGGTCTTAGACAGGGATGTGTAATGTCACCATGGTTGTTTAATATATTTATAGATGGGGTTGTAAAAGAAGTAAATGCTAGGGTGTTCGGGAGAGGGGTGGGATTAAATTATGGGGAATCAAATTCAAAATGGGAATTGACACAGTTACTTTTTGCTGATGATACTGTGTTTATGGGAGATTCTAAAGAAAAATTGCAAAGGTTAGTGGATGAGTTTGAGAATGTGTGTAAAGGTAGAAAGTTGAAAGTGAACATAGAAAAGAGTAAGGTGATGAGAGTATCAAATGATTTAGATAAAGAAAAATTGGATATCAAATTGGGGAGGAGGAGTATGGAAGAAGTGAATGTTTTCAGATACTTGGGAGTTGACGTGTCGGCGGATGGATTTATGAAGGATGAGGTTAATCATAGAATTGATGAGGGAAAAAAGGTGAGTGGTGCGTTGAGGTATATGTGGAGTCAAAAAACGTTATCTATGGAGGCAAAGAAGGGAATGTATGAAAGTATAGTAGTACCAACACTCTTATATGGATGTGAAGCTTGGGTGGTAAATGCAGCAGCGAGGAGACGGTTGGAGGCAGTGGAGATGTCCTGTTTACGGGCAATGTGTGGTGTAAATATTATGCAGAAAATTCGGAGTGTGGAAATTAGGAGAAGGTGTGGAGTTAATAAAAACATTAGTCAGAGGGCAGAAGAGGGGTTGTTGAGGTGGTTTGGTCATTTAGAGAGAATGGATCAAAGTAGAATGACATGGAAAGCATATAAATCTACAGGGGAAGGAAGGAGGGGTAGGGGTCGTCCTCGAAAGGGTTGGAAAGAGGGGGTAAAGGAGGTTTTGTGGGCGAGGGGCTTGGACTTCCAGCAAGCGTGCATGAGCGTGTTAGATAGGAGTGAATGAAGACGAATGATACTTGGGACCTGACGATCTGTTGGAGTGTGAGCAGGGTAATATTTAGTGAAGGGATTCAGGGAAACCGGTTATTTTCATATAGTCGGACTTGAGTCCTGGAAATGGGATGTACAATGCCTGCACTTTAAAGGAGGGGTTTGGGATTTTGGCAGTTTGGAGGGATATGTTGTGTATCTTTATACGTATATGCTTCTAAACTGTTGTATTCTGAGCACCTCTGCAAAAGCAGTGATAATGTGTGAGTGTGGTGAAAGTGTTGAATGATGATGAAAGTATTTTCTTTTTGGGGATTTTCTTTCTTTTTTGGGTCACCCTGCCTCGGTGGGAGACGGCCGACTTGTTGAAAAAAAAATATATATATACATATATACATATATATATATATATATATATATATATATATATATATATATATATATATATATATATATATATATATATATATATATATATGTACATATATATATATATATATATATATATATATATATATATATATATATATATATATATATATATATATATATATATAATATATATGTCGTGCCGAATAGGCAGAACTTGCTATCTTGGCTTAAATAGCAACGCTCATTTTGCCATATAGGACAAGTGAAAATTTGTGTATGCAATGATTTCGCCAAAATCATTCTGAACCTAACGAAAAAAATATTTTTCACTTTGTTTGTTTAGTATTAAATTATTGTAAACAAATCTAAAATATATTTAGCTCGGTTAGGCTAAAATAAATTGTTCTTGTTATAATAAGGTTAGGTAAGTTTTCTAAGATTCTTTTCTATCTTGATGCGAGGAATAATAGTGGACATACGAACAGTTATTTGTAGGTTTTCTGTAAATTTTAAATTTGAATTCATTATTACCCTTAATAATTAAAACCTACAAATAACTGTTCCTATGTCCACTATTATTCCTCGCATCAAGATAGAGTCAAACTGTCTGTTTTCTCATCAATGTTTTTGAGAGCTTTACGAATTTGTAGTCCTGAGTTCATAGATGAGGAAATATCCAAAATTTATGAAATAGGTAATGATTTAAAATACCCAAGAAATGTAATTGATAAATCTTTTAAAGTTGCTAGAAACACTTTTTATAATCCAAAAAGGGGCAACCAGCCTTATTCAACTAAAAATATGTTGGTTCTCCCTTACCATGAAAACTTGGTTGATATGCCTTCTCTTCTTAAGACTTTTAATATTAAAGTTGTATTCAAAAATCTTGATACAGTAAAAAAACTTTTGATAAAGAATTCCCCCCAAAATGCTGATGGATGTGTCTATAAGATTCCTTGTAAAATTTGCGATTAAGTTTATTACGGTCAAACTGGTAAAAATCTCGAACTAAGATTAAAACAACATAAATATAGCATTAGAACTGGACAAGATTCCAATGCTCTATTTATTCATGTAAGAGATTTTAACCATCCAATTGATTTTCGAAAAGTTGAGAAAGTAGTATCAAGCAAGTCCATGGTCGACAGGAATATAATTGAATCTTGTTTCATAAAAAGCAGTTTTGACAATAATATGAATATTTCCTTTGGTTTATATAAATTAGATCCATTTATAATTAATAGAATTTGGGAAGAATTTAATAATACACTGGACAAATAAATAGCTTGGGGGTGAGTTGTGCAAAGGACCTATCCAAGTTGGCTCGCCGCGCGTCACGTGTTTAACCGTTGTGGGATCTGATAGTGAGGTGCTGGCCGGACCCCTTATATAGCTTCCTTGGATGCTTCACTTTCATAGTTCCTTGATAATGTGAGTAGTCACGAAAGTGCTTGGAATTTCACTATTCTTTCAGAGTGGTTGTTTTGCATATATATATATAATATATATATATATAATATATATATATAATATATATATATATATATATATATATATATATATATATATATATATATATATATATATATATATATATATATATATATATATATATATATATATATTTGTGTGTATGTGTGTGTTTTTGTCGTAACTTATAGCCTCCTAAGCATATAAAAAATAATGGGGAAGCGCTATGCCCGTAGGGGTCATACAGCGCCTGGGGTATGGAAAGAGAACAAGTTTGATTTTGGGAAAGGAAAGGTAACTCCAGTTCCTTGGATCAGTAGTCTTTCACCAACATCAAGGTATCCCCATGGAAGGGCTCGAAATGAAGGAAAAGTATTGAAAGATAACGGTAAACTGATAAGGATATCAGCAAGATAGCAACAAAAGATCTCTGAAAAGACAGCGGAAAACTGATGATATCTGCAGTGGATGACCAATTACTAGAAGGGATTGTTAAATAACAGCAACTGATCAGTTGATCAGTCTATAATCAATAGTGGGAATGGAGAATGAAAATCACAACACCGTGGCTGGAACAAATCATAATCCACAACACCGTGGCTGGAACAAATCACAACTAACCCACAACACCGTGGCTGGAACAAATCACAACTGATCTACACGAAAGAGAGAGGAAACTTTAGACGAAGTTTCGGTCACTTCTGGACCAATATCAAGTGACAGATTTTAAAAGTTGTCAAATGGGAATGACCTACAATGGATGGAAACGTCGTTTTCACTTTCTAATTCTAAGTCTGAGTTAATTATGAACAATGCAGAACTACACTTAACTAAGTGAACCGTGCATGAAGCATGACAATAGTCATAAAATAATCCCATTATCAGTAGCTGAATCACACACTATTTAAGTAACTAGACGAATCTTATAAACACTACCAGCAGGGTTACATATTTTGCTTATCAGACACATGGTCACAACTCATCGGTAAGGTATCTGCTCAGAGTCTTGAGCAGCTGTACCACATCTGGATATCAGGAGCTGTGCCACATCTGGATATCAGCAGCTGTGCCACATCTGCATATCAGCAGCTGGATGTTAATAATTGGGCAACATTTAAACAGTAGGAGGGGTACGTCTGTATATCAGTATTTACGCTATATCGGGATATCAGTGACTGAGCAAAGGTTGGAAATCTGTAGCTGGGTCACAACTGGATGTCAGTAACTGAGCCGCACCAGTCACAGATAACTGAAAATTGTTATCCTTATCATTAACTGTAATTCACCGAACTCGGTATTTAACCTCAGTTTAAACGTAAAATATTTAACTTCAGTTTTAACCCCAGTTTTCATCCTCAGAATTTAACATCAGTTTTTAGCATAAACAGTTGGTTTAAGAAGCAAATATTTCCCAGAAAAAAATGGACCAACAGCAGGATGTTTTAATAAACAATAGCAGAAAGTTCTTCTGTTTTGCAGCAGAAGATAAGTTTTTATGCTGTGTGAGACGACAGCAATACCTAAAGATGTCACTGCTCTGCAAGTCTAAGTCTGTACATGAATGATATACAATATCGACAAGACAAAAATTAGACATGTGAAACATCTTTATTGTAGGCGTATCGCCATCCAGAGGTTTTATCAATACAAATTCAAGAACATGATTGGAAGGCAGAACTATATACAAACGGTGAGGTAATGAGTCCCTCAGCTTGGACTTGGTGTGAAGAGCACCGTAGTCGTGAAGATTCTGGAGCAAAGGCATGAAAACTGGCACTTATTTATATTAATACAGCCACTGGATAGCGAAACGTCTACAATAAAGATATCCAGATGTTGCACATGTCTAATTTTCAAGCCTAAGTTTCTCTGCCCTAAATGACGACAACAGTACAAAAATACCCTCCTGTACTTTACCAGTCTGCAGAACTTAAAGTATATTTTTCTCTACTGTAAAACTAGCAAAAAAAAAAATTATAAAAAGCATATTATTGTACATCTTATCTCCCAGGTGAATAAAATCTACTTATCTTACAGGAATACATTACTGTCACAAAGATAAGCATAACAGTGGAGTAGTAGTGAGTGTGTCGAGTAGTGTGTGTGCGCATGTGTGAGTGTGAGTGTGTTGCTGTGTTCGTCAGGTATCGGGGTGGGTTTGAAACTTACCCACTGGGAGTCAGAAACTCTAGTTCACCTGAACAATAACATTAAGAACACTCAGTTCGTTGAAGGAGGGATTCAAGTATATTCTCAGTGAATATACACTGAGAGATATACACCTCTCGGTGTATATATGTTAGAGCACTGGGCTCCTCTCTTGTTGTAAGGTGAGTAGAACTGATCAAGAAGACCATAGCAAACGCTGACAAGTAGGAATATAACATTGGTACTAGAGGATCCTTCTGATACAAACAGAGGATCCTTCTGATACAAACAGAGGATCCTTCTGATACAACCAGAGGAACCTTCTGATACAACCAGAGGATCCTTCTGATACAACCAAAGGATCCTTCTGATACAATCAGAGGAACCTTCTGATACAACCAGAGGATCCTTCTGATACAACGAAAGGATCCTTCTGATACATCCAGAGGATCCTTCTGATACAACCAGAGGAACCTTCTGATACAACCAGAGGATCCTTCTGATACAACCAGAGGATCCTTCTGATACAACCAGAGGATTCTTTTCATACAACCAGAGGAACCTTCTGATACAACCAGAGGATCCTGATACAACCAGAGGATCCTTCTGATACAACCAGAGGATCCTTCTGATACAACCAGAGGAACCTTCTAATACAACCAGAGGATCCTTCTGATACAACCAGAGGATCCTTCTGATATAACCAGAGGATTCTTCTGATACAACCAGAGGATTCTCCTGATACAACCAGAGGATCCTTCTGATACAACCAGAGGAACCTTCTGATACAACCAGAGGATCCTTCTGATACAACCAGAGGATCCTTCTGATACAACCAGAGGAACCTTCTGATACAACCAGAGGATCCTTCTGATACAACCAGAGGACCCTTCTGATACAACCAGAGGATTCTTCTGATACAACCAGAGGATCCTTCTGATACAACCAGAGGATCCTGATACAACCAGAGGATCCTTCTGATACAACCAGAGGATCCTTCTGATACAACCAGAGGAACCTTCTAATACAACCAGAGGATCCTTCTGATACAACCAGAGGATCCTTCTGATACAACCAGAGGATTCTTCTGTTACAACCAGAGGATCCTTCTGATATAACCAGAGGATTCTTCTGATACAACCAGAGGATTCTCCTGATACAACCAGAGGATCCTTCTGATACAACCAGAGGAACCTTCTGATACAACCAGAGGATCCTTCTGATACAACCAGAGGAACCTTCTGATACACCCAGAGGATCCTTCTGATACAACCAGAGGACCCTTCTGATACAACCAGAGGATTCTTCTGATACAACCAGAGGATCCTTCTGATACAACCAGAGGAACCTTCTGATACAACCAGAGGATCCTTCTGATACAACCAGAGGATCCTTATGATACAACCAGAGGATCCTTCTGATACAACCAGAGGAACCTTCTGATACAACCAGAGGATCCTTCTGATACAACCAGAGGATCCTTCTAATACAACCAGAGGATTCTTCTGATACAACCAGAGGATCCTTCTGATACAACCAGAGGATCCTTCTGATACAACCAGAGGCTCCTTCTGATACAACCAGAGGAACCTTCTGATACAATCAGAGGATCCTTCTGATACAACCAGAGGAACCTTCTGATACAATCAGAGGATCCTTCTGATACAATCAGAGGATCCTTCTGATACAACCAGAGGAACCTTCTGATACAACCAGAGGAACCTTCTGATACAACCAGAGGAACCTTCTGATACAATCAGAGGATCCTTCTGATACAACCAGAGGAACCTTCTGATACAATCAGAGGAACCTTCTGATACAACCAGAGGATCCTTCTGATACAACTTTTCGCTCAAGTCTAAGGTGAAAAACGTTGCATAAGAGAGATTCTCTGGAACCAGTGCTGGAAGTGACAAATCAACGCTGAAGTAATCGCCTAGTTGTAAATAGTACTTAGCTGTAATAATATAATTAGGCCCACTTTTCTACTTCTGTTGGTTAATTTGATTTTGAATTAGAGTTTTTTATTTTCCTTTGTGATTTTTCTTACATTTTTTTGTTTCATGTTTGCTCGTTTTGTTTACGACCTAAAAGCTCAGGGCAATTACCAACAGCCTTACTGGTTAAATAATGGGCTGCTATTTGCATACGTAGGATTGAGCCTTGATTACATTTGCTCTGAATAGCCAACACCGGTTTGAGTGCTTTCCATACATAATAATAATAATAATAATAATAATAATAATAATAATAATAATAATAATAATAATAATAATAATAACAATAATAATAATAATAATAATAATAATAATAATAATAATAATAATAATAATAATAATAATAAGAAGAAGAAGAAGAAGAAGAAGAAGAAGGAAGAGAAGCAGGAGAAGAGTAAAAGAAGAAGCAGGAGAAACTATTAATATTATAATAATAATCATGGGGAATTGCTTAAGCCGTAAAGTTGAGCCAGAATTGATCCGAATAAGGAAAGTATGTACTAATACGTAGGTGTTATACTAGACATTTACTCATTATTGCCTCATCACTTAGCATGAGGTACTCTGTAGATGTTTAACTTAGTTGTTTGTACCTGTCTGTCACCTTTTTTTGGGGGGGGATGGGGAGGGGAATGTTGGGATTGAAGACAGAGATACGAGAAGAGTACAAAACTTTACTGGAACAACATTTAGCTCAAGGAAGACCTTTTTTTTGAAGACTTCCCCCTCACTCTTGTTAGAGAGGGGACGTGTTCCCAATAAAGTCTCGTTCGTCTGCATGTATCTGTATATTTATTCACGTCAGTAATCCCTCATTCGATCACTGTCTGAAGTGCTCTCATTATTTTCCACGAGTTTGGTAGTTTAACTGTTTCCGCTGATCTTCCTTTTATTTTTCCCTCTTGTTTGATTTGTATTATAATCAGGATTCAAATGACCGAACTTCCAACAGATAAAACTTTTATGGGACATCCACCGAAAGAAAATCTTTTTCTGCAAAAAAACATCCCTCTTCAATAATATATTTTTTTCTACTTTACATCTGAAAGTCATCAGTGAACTGCATGGCCAGTGCTTTAAGTAAGTTTATTAAGGTATATTTACACTAATAGAGCGCTGTCGTCTGCATACATCAGAAGCTTACACTTGACACTCATGGACATGTCATTCACATAACATAGGAAGAATAAGGGACACAGAATACTACCCTGGGGAACCTCACATGCTATCTGTAGGGATTCTGATTCTGTGTTGTTTATCTTTACAATTTGTTTCCTGTTCCCCAGGTAGGACTTAAATTAGATTACAGAACCTATGCCGATAGCATGTAGCTTCTTACATAATATATTACAGTTGACTGTATCGAAGATCTTTGTAAATCTAAGGTCACCATAAATATGAGATTCTCTAGCGACATTTCAGTTTTCAGGGAGTCCATCAGATTAATCAAGGAGGTGTCGGCCGAGTGAGATCTGAAACCTGATTGTTAACTATGGAGAATGTTTTTGTTATTGAGATACTTAACGACAATCCGGACTTGATGAGACAGCGCACTCTCCAGGGGCAAAATTTGGACACACAAACAGTTCTTAATGGCGTTATCAGTTGATAAGACGACAAGATCTGACATCATTGTTTGGTGAGGATGTGAGAACCTTAAATTTTGTGAGAGTATGAGACGCTACCAACCTTAATTAATAGTAATAATAATAATAATAATAATAATAATAATAATAATAATAATAATACCAATGTTATTATTTTCGTTATTGTTATATTATTATTATTATTAATAATATTCGCATTACTTTCATGGGGTAACACTAATCTCATAGGGGTCATACAGTGCCAGGGAAAAATTTAAGGCACCCAGGATCAAAAGCCCCTTCACCGGCATTAAGGCACCCTGAGATTATCAGGTGAAAATTATGATGAACATTACTACCATTCAGTTTTAGTCACTCTTCAAGCAAGGTGTCTTGATGCCGACGAGTGGGTTTTGATCCAGGAAATTTGAAGCTACGTTATCTTTCCTCAGTTCAGTCTAAACGAATTTTTCATATTACTACTTTCGATAATACGCCATTTTGATCCTTCTAGCCTTTTAACCTTCATGTTAACCTGCTATTGACTGTATCTCAATCTCAGAGAAAGAACGATAATATTTCGCTGCTTAGCCTGGAATGTTAAGCTGGCAAATATATTACTCACCCTGAAGAATTTTTCTTGCAGACAAAATTCGTGAATTGGACAAATATTTTTGTTAGTGGATTTGGGTTTGAGAAGGACCTGTCTAGCATGGGCCAGTAGGCCTCCTGCAGTGTTCCTCCTTATGTTTTTATATCCTCATTGCCCATCTGAAATCTCTCACCTCAGGCTGACAGACTTCAAGACTGTTTACGTGACCCATACTGTGTGATGGATTTTGACAGGGAAACGTAACTACTTTTGGTTTCCAATGTATAACTAGTATAATTATGGTAAAGGCAGAAGCGTATTACTGATGTATCCAATTTTCCTAAATAAAAACATCATTGATTTTACTCATTTACGGCGTTACAGGCTCTTCATATTTTTCATAACGAGTTCTCAGTTTAAAAAGCTAATTGCTTCCCTGCTAATCAGACATTTTAAAAAACTTTGTAGGCTATTCTTTTTATTGTAGAGCAAAAATTTGCGTTAAATTTTGGTACCTCGGCAATTAGAATTAATTTAGCATATTTTTGTACTCTAGGTATCTACAACTACTGCTACAGCAGCCAGGCACCTGGAACAATGTGTGCGTTACAACCTGGGCATTCACCTGGGCGCGTGAATACACAGAAAACTGAGGCACAATATCCCAAAGGGCCACCTAGACGCTTAAAGACTCGGGAAAATAAAGCACGGGAACTCGGGAACTCACCTAAGCACCTGAAGACGGAGAAGAATGGCGTAAAAAATACCAAGAACTCACCTGGGTCCCTAAAGACGCAGGAAAATGAGGTACAAAAACCCAGGAACTCACCTAGTCACCTGAAGATGCAGGAAAATGAGGCACAAGAACCCAGGAACTCACCTAGTCACCTGAGGATGCAGGAAAATGAGGCACAAGAGGCCAGGAATTCACCTAAGCACCTGAAAAAGCAGGAAAATAACACACAGGTGCCCGAGAACTCACCTAAGCACCTGAAGACGCAGGAAAATGAGGCACAAGAGACCAGTAACTCACCTAAGCACTTGAGGATGCAGGAAATGAATCCATTGCTGTCTAGACACTCATCTATGCACCTGGAGATACCAGAAACTGAGCCCCTACAGGTCAGACACTCACATGAAAATCTGCAAACCCAGAAATCAGACCCACTACAGCTCGGTACATCACCTGAGATCCTAATGATAGAAGAAGTGGAACAAGGTGAATCATCCGAGTCCAAGAAGAAGAGAATCTGGAGACAGGTCAGTAACAATGCTTAATATTCTTTAGTGTTATTACGGAGCTGCGGGGAAAAGAACACTACCAACCACATTGATGGGAACTTCAATAAGAGCTCACACCCGTCACATACTAGACTGGGAAATTTCTGCTCGAAATACCTTGGTTGGTTACACAGTGAGATGTACAGCTAGTTGATGACACGAGGGTCATTAAGGCTGCATCTCACCTGTTTGCCACCTGTTAAGAATATTTGAATCCATAAAATTGGGATTAACGTTAACTCTCAGTGTATATATCTTGTGATGCATTGCCTAAATATATGCTCTTCCACGTAAAAAATATCTTTGTAACAAATGAATCTTTGCGGAAAATTATTATTATTATTATTATTATTATTATTATTATTATTATTATTAGTAGTAGTAGTAGTAGTAGTAGTAGTAGTAAGTTAGGACTTCAAGGAGACCACATCTTCACAATTTCTCTCGGTGTAATTGATAGGTAATAATCTATAAATATATTACTATTACTACTATTATTATTATTATTATTACTACTACTACTACTACTACTACTACTACTACTACTACTACTACTACTACTACTAATAATAATAATAATAATAATAATAATAATAATAATAACAATAATAATATTGATAATAATAACTATAAATTAATAATAGCAATAATAATAAATATGCTAAAAATTATGTATTATATACAGGGACTTTATCTCATTTACAGTGGGTGAATCAATGCTCATTGCAGTACCACCTAGATTTAAAAGTTACTAACTTAAATTTACCTCCCCAGCTGGGCAAAGTGATGCAGGTGAGCCTTGGTACCTGCATGATAGGCACTCTGTTTACGTTTCCTTCAGTCATTGCTGCAGACCTCTACGCGCATCATACCACCATATATGGCACCAATATCTCCATAGATGGCTTAGAGGACATGGTTGGTGAGTGTTTTAAAACTGAAACTGAATGGTAGGCGTTTTAACAGTGTGGAAGTATGGTAAAGCGTCCACGATTTGGTTAGTAAGCTCTTTAAACCTCTGGCAGTACAGTAGGGCTTAGAAGATTTATTTGGTGTTTTATAACTCGGATAGTGTTGTAAAACTTTTAGGATTTGGTAGGCAAGTGCAGGGTTGACCCTCTTATCGCACCTCTAACAAGCTCTAAGAAGCAACAGTGCTCTTGTAAGATGACCCTAATGGCCACGAGTAGTGTATGAGTAGCAGTAGTAATACTAGTACTAGTATTACTAAGTAACTAATTTATCTCCACCCATATTAACATAATTTACATACGTATCTCAAATATTATGTACAGAATTATTAGTCACACAAGCAACAATTAGAAATCCTTATTCTTGGAGCGTTTGGCCAGCCCGTAGCTTTATGAATATGCCGTTAATATAAGAATAATTATTACACAGGTAGTTTGGTAATGTTGGGGTCGCTGCCTGGGGCCTGGGTGACAGCCTCCTTGGACCTCCAACTGAGACGACGCAAGGCTATGATTGTTCACGGTGTGTTGGCTGTCTTGGGCTGGTTGGGAGTGGCTTTGCTACCCTCTGTTGTGGGTGTTCTCATATCCAGGTGAGTAGCAGCAGTAGTAGTAACAGCAGCAGCAGCAGCAGCAGCAGCAGCAGCAGCAGCAGCAGCAGCAGCAGCAGCAGCAGCAGCAGCAGCAGCAGCAGCAGCAGCAGCAGCAGCAGCAGCAGCAGCAGCAGCAGCAGCAGCAGCAGCAGCAGCAGCAGCAGCAGCAGCAGCAGCAGCAGCAGCAGCAGCAGCAGCAGCAGCAGCAGCAGCAGCAGCAGCAGCAGCAGCAGCAGCAGCAGCAGCAGCAGCAGCAGCAGCAGCAGCAGCAGCAGCAGCAGCAGCAGCAGCAGCAGCAGCAGCAGCACAGCAGCAGCAGCACAGCAGCAGCAGCAGCAGCAGCAGCAGCAGCAGCAGCAGCAGCAGCAGCAGCAGCAGCAGCAGCAGCAGCAGCAGTGGTAGTAGTAATAGTAGTATTAGGAGCAGAAGCAGAAGCCATAATAATAATAATAATAATAATAATAATATAAATTATTATTATTATTATTATTATTGTTATAATTATAATTATTATGTTTTTATTAATTTTACATAAATATTAGTATAATTACTGAAAACACAATAGAGAGAAGAGCACATTAAGGCGTCTCTAAGGTGTCTCCACATATGCTGGATGAGCTGCGTCTGTCCACTTATTCTGGAAGAGTCAGGTGTTTGGCTTTATGTAGGCTACAGGAAACATGTGTGATCGTCCTTTCATGCGGTGGGTGTCAGTCAATCCACACATGCTGGCAATAACAGTTGTTTAACGTTATAATCAGCATTGTTGTTACAGGTGTGTGTCAGGTGTAGCCATGGGAGGCTTCGCAGTGGTGCTGAATGCATATGTGACCGAACTCGTTGATGATGAGGTCCGTGGCATGATGTCCATGGTTCTTAATCTGGGCATCATGAAAGGTGAGCTATCACACACGCAGCTTCACGAGTAGGTGTAGCAATTCCCCAGAAAACAGTAATCATTCATAGTCTAGCAGGCAAGGACAGGAGCATAGTCTCGATCTCAGGGACATGTAGCAGGCATGTGTGAACGCGTTAGATATGAGTGAATAGAGACGAATGGTTTTGGGACCTGACGAGCTGTTGGAGTGTGAGCAAGGTAATATTTTGCGAAGGGATTCATGAAAATCGGTCCTGGAGGTGGGAAGAACAATGCCTGCACATAAAAGAGGGGCTTAGGAAATTGGCTGTTTTTGAGTGATATCTGAACTACCGTATCTGAACGCCTGTGCTAAGACAGTTATCATGTGTGAACGATGGTGAAAGTGTTTCTTTCTTTTTTGGGTCACGAACCGGTCGTATCCCACAGAGGCTGACGAACCTGATAAGGGTGACCTAAAAAGAAAAACTTTCGTTTTTCTTTTGAGGTCACCCTTATCAGGTTCTTGATAATGTGAGAAATCATGAAAGTGCTTGGAATTTTTCACTATTTTTCACAGTGGTTGTTTTGCTTATTGTGATGTCACCTGTTTACTGTGATCTTATTGTATATATATATTGTATATATATATATATATATATATATATATATATATATATAATATATATATATATTGTATATATATATTGTATATATATATGTTGCGGTGCCTGTCAGGCACCGCAACATCATTGGGAAGGACCTACTTCCACTGGGGAATCCCGCCTACCAGTGACTATGCCCTCGTCTGCTACACGTCTCTCTTCACTGACGCCTGTATAAGCGCCAGTCTCCTTACCTGTGCTTCAGAATCTCTACAACCACGGTGTTGTAAACACCACCTCCAAGGCTGAGGGACTGATTACCTCATCTTTTGTATATAGTTCTTCTGTTTTCTAATTATGTCCAAGAATTTGTATTGATAAAGCCACTGGATGGCGAAACGTTTACAATAAAGATAACCAGATGTTGCAAAAGTGTCTTAACTTTCATATATATATATATATTATATATTATATATATATTATATTAATATATATATATATATATATATATATATATATATATATATATATATATATATATATATATATATATATATATATATATATATATATATATATGTCGTGCCGAATAGACAGAACTTGCGATCTTGGCTTAAATAGCAACGCTCATCTTGCCATATAGGACAAGTGAAAATTTGTGTATGCAATAATTTCGCCAAAATCATTCAGAACCTAACGAAAAAAATATATTTCACTGGGTTTGTTTAGTATTTAATTATTGTAAACAAATCTAAAATATATTTAGTTGGGTTAGGCTAAAATAAATTGCTCTTGTTATAATAAGGTTAGGTAAGTTTTCTAAGATTCTTTTGGTGCAAAATTAAAAATTTTTACATTAACATTAATGAAAAAAATATATCTTTAAACGTATAAGAGAAAATTTTAGAAAGGACTTAATTTTAAATGAGTTCTTGCTAATTGACCAGTTTTACATATTCGGCACAACACACACACTATATATATATATATATAAGATATAAACAGCTATTGGAGGATAGATGGGCTAATGAGAGCATAGGCAATGGGGTCGAAGAGGTATGGGGTAGGTTTAAAAATGTAGTGTTAGAGTGTTCAGCAGAAGTTTGTGGTTACAGGAAAGTGGGTGCAGGAGGGAAGAGGAGCGATTGGTGGAATGATGATGTAAAGAGAGTAGTAAGGGAGAAAAAGTTAGCATATGAGAAGTTTTTACAAAGTAGAACTGATGCAAGGAGGGAAGAGTATATGGAGAAAAAGAGAGAAGTTAAGAGAGTGGTGAAGCAATGTAAAAAGAGAGCAAATGAGAAGTGGGTGAGATGTTATCAACAAATTTTGTTGAAAATAGAAAAGTTTTGGAGTGAGATTAACAAGTTAAGAAAGCCTAGAGAACAAATGGATTTGTCAGTTAAAAATAGGAGAGGAGAGTTATTAAATGGAGAGTTAGAGGTATTGGGAAGATGGAAGGAATATTTTGAGGAATTGTTAAATGTTGATGAAGATAGGGAAGCTGTGATTTCGTGTATAGGGCAAGGAGGAATAACATCTTGTAGGAGTGAGGAAGAGCCAGTTGTGAGTGTGGGGGAAGTTCGTGAGGCAGTAGGTAAAATGAAAGGGGGTAAGGCAGCCGGGATTGATGGGATAAAGATAGAAATGTTAAAAGCAGGTGGGGATATAGTTTTGGAGTGGTTGGTGCAATTATTTAATAAATGTATGGAAGAGGGTAAGGTACCTAGGGATTGGCAGAGAGCATGCATAGTTCCTTTGTATAAAGGCAAAGGGGATAAAAGAGAGTGCAAAAATTATAGGGGGATAAGTCTGTTGAGTGTACCTGGTAAAGTGTATGGTAGAGTTATAATTGAAAGAATTAAGAGTAGGACGGAGAATAGGATAGCAGATGAACAAGGAGGCTTTAGGAAAGGTAGGGGGTGTGTGGACCAGGTGTTTACAGTGAAACATATAAGTGAACAGTATTTAGATAAGGCTAAAGAGGTCTTTGTGGCATTTATGGATTTGGAAAAGGCGTATGACAGGGTGGATAGGGGGGCAATGTGGCAGATGTTGCAAGTGTATGGTGTAGGAGGTAGGTTACTGAAAGCAGTGAAGAGTTTTTACGAGGATAGTGAGGCTCAAGTTAGAGTATGTAGGAAAGAGGGAAATTTTTTCCCAGTAAAAGTAGGCCTTAGACAAGGATGTGTGATGTCACCGTGGTTGTTTAATATATTTATAGATGGGGTTGTAAGAGAAGTAAATGCGAGGGTCTTGGCAAGAGGCGTGGAGTTAAAAGATAAAGATCACACACAAAGTGGGAGTTGTCACAGCTGCTCTTTGCTGATGACACTGTGCTCTTGGGAGATTCTGAAGAGAAGTTGCAGAGATTGGTGGATGAATTTGGTAGGGTGTGCAAAAGAAGAAAATTAAAGGTGAATACAGGAAAGAGTAAGGTTATGAGGATAACAAAAAGATTAGGTGATGAAAGATTGAATATCAGATTGGAGGGAGAGAGTATGGAGGAGGTGAACGTATTCAGATATTTGGGAGTGGACGTGTCAGCGGATGGGTCTATGAAAGATGAGGTGAATCATAGAATTGATGAGGGAAAAAGAGTGAGTGGTGCACTTAGGAGTCTGTGGAGACAAAGAACTTTGTCCTTGGAGGCAAAGAGGGGAATGTATGAGAGTATAGTTTTACCAACGCTCTTATATGGGTGTGAAGCGTGGGTGATGAATGTTGCAGCGAGGAGAAGGCTGGAGGCAGTGGAGATGTCATGTCTGAGGGCAATGTGTGGTGTGAATATAATGCAGAGAATTCGTAGTTTGGAAGTTAGGAGGAGGTGCGGGATTACCAAAACTGTTGTCCAGAGGGCTGAGGAAGGGTTGTTGAGGTGGTTCGGACATGTAGAGAGAATGGAGCGAAACAGAATGACTTCAAGAGTGTATCAGTCTGTAGTGGAAGGAAGGCGGGGTAGGGGTCGGCCTAGGAAGGGTTGGAGGGAGGGGGTAAAGGAGGTTTTGTGTGCGAGGGGCTTGGACTTCCAGCAGGCATGCGTGAGCGTGTTTGATAGGAGTGAATGGAGACAAATGGTTTTTAATACTTGACGTGCTGTTGGAGTGTGAGCAAAGTAACATTTATGAAGGGATTCAGGGAAACCGGCAGGCCGGACTTGAGTCCTGGAGATGGGAAGTACAGTGCCTGCACTCTGAAGGAGGGGTGTTAATGTTGCAGTTTAAAAACTGTAGTGTAAAGCACCCTTCTGGCAAGACAGTGATGGAGTGAATGATGGTGAAAGTTTTTCTTTTTCGGGCCACCCTGCCTTGGTGGGAATCGGCCGGTGTGATAATAAAAAAAAAATATATATATATATATATATATATATATATATATATATATATATATACATATATATATAATATATATATATATATTATATATATATATATATATTATTTTAGTCATATGAATTGCATATACAGTACATAATTCTGCATATACTCCCAAATCTCTTAAACATGTCCAAGGGTGTTTGAGTACGATCCTTGAGCAGGGTCCAGCCGCTAGCTTCTCATCCTCTGACAGGTCAACTATTGACTGTGTGTTTGGGATATGCTGCCCGCTACTACGTGGTAGCTCTGATCAATACACTCGTCCCTGTATTCTTCCTCATCTTTCTTATCTGGTTGCCGGAGAGTCCTGCACTCCTTGTTCTCAAAGGTAATCCTTTTCTTAACCAACAGTAGCTGAATTTTTTGGAAAATTTTTGATTTCATAAAAAAATATTTTAAAATTACGACAAATGTAAAAATATATCAAGGTTTTCATTTAATTAAAACTCTAACAGTGATTTTAAAGAATTGTCTAAAATTAAACGATCAAATTATCATGAAATTAATTAGGCAGGTCTTTTTCAAATTCAACCTCTTCTCAGCTGAAGAGGATCCCAGAAGGGGGGTCGAAATATACAGACCAATCAATTTCATGAGTTTTTGTCTCTTGGTTTTTCAGTCAACTGCAACTTTACTCACCTAACGCTTCACGTCACCATGCTTCCTATAATCATTTGCTCTCTACTCAGGTAGATCTGCTTGTGACCCGATAAAGCCCACTGTGTGGGCGAAATGCAATCAATAGACGAACGCATTATACTGCATTTGTGTCAATTTCTCCATCGTGACAGTATTTTATACCATTTGTCTCCATCTCTCTGACAGGTAAGGAGGAGCAGGCGAGGAAAATACTACTAAATCTTAGAGGAAAACATGCTGACCTGTCTACTGAGATGCAGAAATACCAAGACCTGAACCCAGCCATCTCAAAGAGAGTGAGATGGAGAAGTCTCACACATAGCGACCACTTCAGATCCTTGGCTGTGGTCTGCACATTGCTTCTCATCAACACGTTCTCAGGTACTGTGTTATGCCCAATGAAATTGATGTTTTAAAAATATAGACAAGATTGATAAAGATGTGTTTGAGACCGGACAGAGCCCACTGTTTTGGTAAAATATTTGTCAATAAAAAATCACATTTTACTGCATTTGTGAACAAGAAAAAGGCACAATACCGTGACTGAAACAATACACAAATAACCCGCTACCACTTCCTTTCTACTTCCTTTCCTACTACCTCTCTTGTCCCGTCCCTGTCTGCTGGCCTATATATACTGCCTACTTTACTTTCTGTTAGTATGACTTTGTAAATGGTTCAAGTCGGCCCGAAACGTCGTCGTAAGCTCCCCACTATGTGCGAGTTATTTTTGTGCTGCATTTGTTCCTTTATCCATGACGGGAGAGAGAGTAGTAAGAGATTCCCTAATGTATTCGTGCCTACTGTAGCGGCACCTTTAGTATAATCAGTTATATTAGATTCTTCTAATATTAATGGTAATATTAATGATTCTTCAAGTGTATTTGATTTAGTTGGGTTGTGTAAGGTTTGTCAGGAAACAGGGCAAGTGTTTCCTGGCACGGGTCTTAGTTATGTGATGACCCGCAGCTGGAGCTTTTGGTCATCTGACAGCGGCCTTTCTCTGGCTTACCGGTCCTCCCATTTAAAAATTATCTTCATAATTATAGCCATTAAGTATGCATATATGCATTATGTATCCACATGTGTACTATGTGTACAGAATATGAGTGAACTTTCAGGGAAAACTGACTGATCTCATGTCCATGAAGAGACAAGAGATACACAATTGATATGTAACTAAATAAGGTGATACTTGGCTCAGGTATCACAAGTGAGGTGATACCTAGATTCATTTGAAATCATCCATATACATTTCGTAGCAAAAAAACAGCGTGGTACTCATTAATGAGCACTCGCATTCTTTCCATATCTTCTCTTCATCACTTCTCCATTTTTTCTGTTTTCTTACTAATAATATAACTTTTTTTAACATACTTGCCGTCTCCCACCCAGCCAGGACCACCCACAAAAGAAAAAAACGAAAGTTTTTCTTGTTTATGTTTTTCAGCATCCTGTTTTCAGCATCTTGCTCATCTTGTTTTTCATCTGGTTCTTCAGCATCTTGCTCATCTTGTTTTTCATCTGGTTCTTCAGCATCTTGCTCATCTTGTTTTTCATCTGGTTCTTCAGCATCTTGTTCTTCATCTTGTTCTTCAGCATCTTGTTCTTCAGCATCTTGTTCTTCATCTTGTTCTTCAGCATCTTGTTCTTCATCTTGTTCTTCAGCATCTTGTTCTTCAGCATCTTGTTCTTCAGCATCTTGTTCTTCAGCATCTTGTTCTTCAGCATCTTGTTCTTCAGCATCTTGTTCTTCAGCATCTTGTTCTTCAGCATCTTGTTCTTCAGCATCTTGTTTCTTCAGCATCTTGTTCTTCAGCATCTTGTTCTTCAGCATCTTGTCTTCAGCTCTTGTTCTTCAGCATCTGTTCTTCAGCATCTTGTTCTTCAGCATCTTGTTCTTCAGCATCTTGCTTCGCATCTTGTTCTTCAGCATCTTGTTTCTTCAGCATCTTGTTCTTCAGCATCTTGTTCTTCAGCATCTTGTTCTTCAGCATCTTGTTCTTCAGCATATTGTTCTTCAGCATCTTGTTCTTCAGCATCTTGTTCTTCAGCATCTTGTTCTTCAGCATATTCTTCAGCATCTTGTTCTTCAGCATCTTGTTCTTCAGCATCTTGTTCTTCAGCATCTTGTTCTTCAGCATCTTGTTCTTCATCTTGTTCTTCATCTTGTTCTTAAGCATCTTGTTCTTCAGCATCTTGTTCTTCAACATCTTGTTCTTCAGCATCTTGTTCTTCATCTTGCTCTTCAGCATCTTGTTCTTCAGCATCTTATTCTTCATCTTGTTCTTCAGCATCTTGTTCTTCAGCATCTTGTTCTTCAGCATCTTGTTCTTCAGCATCTTTTTCTTCAGCATCCTGTTCTTCAGCATCCTGTTATACATCATCTTGTTCCTCATCATCATCCAGTTCCTCAGCATCCTCTGCTGCAGCATTCTCTTCTGCGCCCTGTATAATAATGAACGTTGTCTTCACCTCCAGGGTACATGGTGCTGAACGCTAACTCATTTCAAATTTTCAAGTCCTCTGGGTCCACGGTGGAGGCAAAATTGTGCACCATAGTCCTGATGATTGTCCAGGTGAGTGGTGGTATACTCGTGCTCATATGGCTTAATTACCTGGAGGCTGTTTCAGGGGTCAGCGCTCCCGTGGCCTACTTCCAGACCAGGATTTAAAAATATAATTAATAATACTAGAGGTTTATTTTTTAAACTAGGGTTGTTATAGAGTTAGGTTATGACTTCCTTTATTTGCAAGTTAAGAACTGTTATTACCTCAACTCAAGGCTACCTAGTATTACTTTTACTAATTTTTTTTTTGTTATGCAACATTCAAATAGGGAATAAAATTAAGTTGGATCCATCCGTGGGCCAACGATTCCACTTTTGTCAATTACTTTTTTACATCAATGTTAAGCTGTTCCAGACTTGAGTCACTCTAGAAATGAATGATCTTAAATGTGGTGTTCTTGAGAAAGGTACATCTAAAGTGTAGTTGCCATTTTCTGCCTGTCTTGTGGTATAGAAGCTGTCTTTTCGCTTCCGCAGAGTGAAGACAGTAAGGCCATCCACATCTTTCAGTGTTGACGGCTCTGCTGAAATGACAGATCCATCCAGGTTAGGAAGAGCTTATAGATAAGTCGTCTGGCTAGGTTCTCTACTTTCCATACCCCCGGCCGGGATTGAACCCGCGGTCATAGAGTCTCAAAACTCCAGCCCGTCTCTACTTTGTCGAAGGTGTGAACACACTTGTACCTCGTATAGTTTTGCATCTTCTTGGTAACAAGATGTGAATGGTCTCACTCTCTCTCATTACGCTCTTGATATTTCAGTTACTGAGACAGAGACAGCATATTTATTCTATGTGGTATGTCGAGATATCTAATTAATGAAATAAGATACCAGAAACGTCAAGCAAATATCCTAAATTTGAATGCAACAGATAAGACATAAATTGTAGCAGTACAGTAACTTCAGATGGACTCTTGTTAACTCTTTTTGGGGACCTAGCTCTTAGGTCCTTTGTATATCTTTATACTCTTGCGCTACCACCCACAGAGTGGACATTATAAACTACCCGCTTCGGAGGCAAAATCTAGATCTAAATCACCAGATCTAGATCTAAATCATTGGTAAAAATCTTGTCTTTAATAGATAGTGCATGTTACATGAACCTTGGGATACGAAAAAAGTCTACCTATTAATAATGAACCTATCAGACTGATGCAATTTTTTTCCACAGTTTGGAGCGGGGCTTGGTGGATCAATGCTCATGGACAGGATCGGCCGCAGGAATATCCTATACCTGGGATTTATCCTCATGACCGCCGGCCTAGGAACTCTGTCTTTCTTTGTGGGCGTAACACAGCCAGAGTAATCATTTTTATTATTATTATTATTGTTATTATTATTATTACTAAATACTTAAAGAGGCACTGAACTCGTAAGGGTCAAACAGTGCGTTATAAGGCCACCAGGATTGATAAGAGTTTATCTCTAGCATCAAATTACCTTCCCCCTTAAAGTATGTCTATAACAAGAGCTGGGAATAACTAGGCTCTTACGACTACGAGGGAATGAACACATATTTAGCTTGGAAACTTTGAGAAATCAGGTTTGATCCATGGAAACTTAAGTGGCATTTGATTTCATGGATCAAGAGGTCTTGAAGGGAAGAAAAAAGTGAAGAATAAATAGTGAAATGAGAAATTAGAGCAAGGAATAATAAGCAGATGTGAACGGAAGGCTCGAACCATGGTCTTGAGATTGACAGGTCCAGAGCTCCACCGCTTCGGCTACGGAGCTTCTTATAAAGATTCGAAAACAGTGTTTCTGAGCATGTTACCGTCCCGTCAGAGGTACCAACTATTCATAATATATATTTATATATATATATATATATTATATAATATATATATATATATATATATAATATAATATATATATATATATATATATATATATATATATATATTATTTATATATGTGTGTGTGGTGTGTGTGTAAAACAACCATTGTGAAGATAGAGAAATTCAGCGCTTTACTACACATTATCCTTGTTAATGTGAGTAATCACGAAAGCGCATGGAATTTCTCTATTCTTTCACGTGTTTTTTGCATATCTGAATCACCTGTTTAACTGTATCGTATGCATATATCATCAATAATATATGAATATATATATATAATTATTATTAGTAGTGTTGTTTATCATATTATAAATACTTTATTACTATATTATTCATATAATATATATATATATATATATATATATATATATAATATGTAGTGCCGAATAGGCGAACTTGCGATTGTTATAATACACGCTCATTGCCATATAGACAAGTGAAAATTTGTTATGCATAATTCACCAAAATCATCTGAACCTACGATAAAAATATATTTCACTGTGTTTGTTTATATTATTAAATATATATCATGTAAACAAATCTAAAATGATTTTACCCCTCAAAGAAGTTCTTGATGTGGTGAGGAGGCATCTGATTTAGAATTGGATCTGTCATCCATTCCCGAATTAATCCTGAATGCCTTCCAACAACCCCACCAAGCGCGTATAATCCTCACTGGTTTAGCGCTTCCTTGTATTAAATACTGTAAAATAATAAAATATATTTAGTTGGGTTAGGCTAAAATAAATTGCGCTTTTTAAAATAAGGTTAGGTAAGTTTTCTAAGTTCCTTTTGGTGCAAAATTATAAATTTTACATCAACATTAATGAAAAAAATATATCTTTAAATGTATAAGAGAAAATTTTAGAAAGGACTTAATTTTAAACGAGTTCTTGCTAATTGGCCAGTTTTACATATTCGGCACGACATACATATTATATATATATATATATATATATATATATATATATATATATATATATATATATATATATATATATATATATATATATATATATATATATATATATATATATATATAATATGTTACATATATATTATTTATAATTATATACACTGAGAGGTGTTTATCTCTGGTTTTAATAACTAAAACAGTCTTAATGTTAATTTACAAATGAATTGCTGGCTTTATGACCCAGGTATAGTGAATAGGCTTTAAATCTTAAGCATCTAATTTATGAGGAAGCAAAAATTTTATTATTGAAAATAAAACCGTGAATTTCTTCTTAACAGAAAGTATGAGGAGACGTTATTGACGCTGGAGTCAGTGACTGCAAGAGCTCAAGTGGTGAGACGAGGGGGCTGGATGCCCCTTGCTTGCCTGGTGGTGTCGCAGACGGGGGTGGTCCTCGGGGTCAACTTTATGCCTCTTATACTCACGCAGGAGTACTTTTCTACAATCTTGCGATCGCAGGTACACGCCATTTTTTTTTAAAATATATGAATAGGAGCATTACTGGCAGGTTTTGCGTCTGATTATTTTAGGTATGTGACTTGGATCTTCCCCGCATGAGCCAGTAGGCCTGCTGCAGTGCTCCTTATTTCTTGTCTTCTTATATCTCATGTACAAATAGTTTATAGTCTGCAAAGGACGCTTTAAATTTTTGGCCCCTGAGGGTCACTTATCACATCCTTACTGACGAAAACGCAATCTTGAATTTTCTCTTTGAGGGCAATTTTCTGAACCTGAACCACTAGAATTATTTCTGTAAAGTAAAAAAAAAAAATGGAAAAAGAAAGCGTTGCACATTAGCCACTTAATGACTCAGTCATCAACGATTAATGCTGTTCAGTTGATGTTATAATTATAATATTGTTCTCTCAAGTTATAAATAATAACACTGGAGGAAGAAAAATATATATATATATAACGTCACCTGCCTTTATACACACTGTTATCCTCTTATAATGATCATATGAACCGAGATATGTATTTATTCTGGTATGCAATAAATTCACAGTAAACAGGTGATATCAGAATATGCAAAACCACCACTGTGAAAAAATAGTGAAATTCCAAGCGCTTTCGTGACTTCTCACATCAAGGAACTATGTGAAAAGTCACGAAAGCGCTTGGAATTTCACTATTCTTTCACAGTGGTTGTTTTGTATATTCCAGTATGTAAATGAAATGAAAGTTTTTTTTTTGCTATAATTGAGATGGATAATGCTATAATTCAACGACATTTTTTGTGAAAAAAAGAGAGATTCATAATTTGTTTTAAATCACCATGGCTGTAAAAGGCAGCATTATTTATTCATTTATATGATTTAATCTTCTTGTCCACACATATTGCACTCACAGAGTTGCAAAAGACATGCAAATGTATTCCGGTAGTGTAAAGGAATCCTGGCCACCAGCGTCTCTACTCATCAAGTTATACTTTTTACCTACACATGTTTCGTCATATGTAAATCTGTTCTAATGCAGTACAAAGTCTTTCTTTCCTATGGACATATCATAGTGAATTTATGCTGTACATTCTATTCTGTCAAATAATCGGCTGTTTCACACTCTGTGATGCTACCAGAGTAAATGAAAGACGGAGTGATTCAAATCCTCCTACTCATCCCTCATTAGTCTTTCCTTGTTAAATCTTTACTTCGGTTCCATCTCCTCTCAGTTTCCATGACACTTTATTCCCTTGTTGCAAGTTTATTTAATGTCCATAAATTTTAAAGGGGTGGACCGGTAATCCAGTGGAAGGCCTCGGTCAGATGGCCAAAAGCTTCAGCTGCGGGTCGTCATATCATTAAGATAGTTGTCATGTTTCCTGGCAAACCTTACCTAACCTAATCTAACTATCCCTATCTTATACACACTCTTATCCTCACATAATGACCATATGCACCGAGATATGTATATATTTTGGTATGTAAATACAATGAAGTTTAGTGTTCAGATAAATGGCAGCCCTAATGACCTACATTTATTAAGCTGATAAACCCTTACTAAATGTCTGGATTTCCCTGGGCAGGCGAGCAGCATATGCGTCACAGTGTGGATCTTGGGGAACTTCGCAGTTCTGCAGTTGTACACACCCATGATGGTGAGCCTCACCCAAGCCGGCCTTTACGGTTTCTACGCCTCCGTCTGCCTCTTGGGTATCGTCTTCACGGCTTTCTTCGTCAGGGAGACCATGGGGGAGAAGGTTGGCTGAGAATTCTTTAGCAATCGTCACACAAACACACACACACACACACACACAAGTAGATGATGTCGAGCAAATCCACTATAGAGGTCAAAATCAGTGGTTCGAGCATCGCAAATTCAATAATTATGAGAAAGCCCTTAACAAGGGAGTGATTTGAGCTCATACTTCTTAGATCAAGAGCCCTTCACCCGCATTAAGACACCCTATCCATATTTGAAGGGAATATTCATAGATGCTAATGGAAAAATTTATATTGTCTCTAAAAAAGGCAGAAAGATAATTAACACTGAAAAGTTTCATAGTTCTCAATTTGCTGTGTTTTTTTTTTTTTTGGGGGGGGAGCTAATTAGTTAGAATTTTTTAATAAAGAATTTAACTAAGGAAGATATTTTTAATTGAGGAGTTCACAACATCAGCGAGTCCAGAATGAGTATATACTCTTAGAGGACTAAATGGTTATTTGAATTGGGTTACGAGCACTTATCAGTGTTTTGGTTGATTTACTTAATTAGTTTAAATCCTATCGACTAGAGTAGGATTGTTAATGCTGCAAGTTACATCTGTAAGAGTCACGATTACTCTATTTTCCAAAACTGTAATTAAAATTATCTCTCGTTGCATACAGACTGAAAGATTTACTCCTCTCGGCGTGTATCCACTCAGAGTAGCCCAGTTCTCCGTGTGTGTCCGCTCTTGGTGTATATATACTAAGAAATGCTCAGCTGTTTGTGAATATACAATACACTGAGAGTGGTACACCCCTTTGGCATATATCCATGAGTGATACAAATTTTTCGGTGTATATACAGTGAGAGATTCACACCCCTTCGTATCCAGTATATCCTCGTGAGATACCCACCTCTCAGTGTATATACTATTAAAGGTGTGGTTTACCAGAGTTCCAGCAAAGTATAGAGATGGATATAATACTGATCTTTAAAATTCACAGTTAAGAAGAAAAGTTCTTTGAGAAAATAATTAGGTGTATGGGAAGGACCCAGATGACGGGAGATTAAACTAGAGGAACATGTTAGGGAAAGTGTTCAGGTTTGAGTCTTCTGATGTACAGTTTTTAAGGGCTAGATCAGTGGTGAGGATAAATTTTTCATAAGAATATGTTCCCAAAGTAAATTTGAAAGTGAATATAAAAATATATTTATTATACTCATCAGAAAAATAGATGTTATAATACTGTGGTTGGAAAAATTCACAAATAACTCGCGCGAATAGTTTCCTCTCTAAGTGTGGGTTATTTGTGAAGAAACTTATTTGATATTGATCCTTGTAATATATCCTTTCCCTAAATAAATATAATTGTTGCGTATTCCTCAAATTCTGCATTTTATTTGTCTCATCCACTCGCCTACAAGAACTAGCTTCTCACGCGCACATTTAAGACAACAAAGAATCACTATACGACAGTGAATACTGTGACGATACCCGCACGAGTATCTTAACATGTCTGCTCTTTTTTCTTGCCTTTCCCCACTTTGCACTTAAAATTTATCATGGAATAATTCACAAAGTAGTGTATATAAAAGCTTTGTGCTGAGCTGGCGCCGTCCAGGGTGCTGCCTCATCCTGCATCTGGAGAGAGACGTAAACATTATGCCAGAGCCAAGACTTGGCAAGTCTGCTGTTGAAACTTGAATATAGTGGGTACCTAAGGTGCCTTTATGTACGTGAGGACAATTCGAGAGGATATCATATATCACCTTAACACATAATGCCTTATAGAATCTGAAGAGCAGAGTAAGAGCATGGGAAAAGTTGAAGAGAGAGAAATAGTGATCTCAATGAAATGAGGAACACGAAGGGTAATAAATAGATGGATGATGATACTTGGAAAAAATGGAAATTACTTGTTATGAAGCGAATTAATTACATGGGAAAATACAACCTTTCCATAGGTATAAGGGATAGGTCATAAATGCAGTGAAAGTGGAGAGGGAAGAGGAGAGAGTGAGAGAAATATATATCTAACGACGAAAGAGGAAGGAAGAAAGCATATAACACACCAGCACACTAACATACCAGCAGTCCAGCACACCTCAGGGAAATCAGATCACCTTGGCTCAGTGGTCCATGGAATGTGCTGTATGGGCGAGTTTGTGGCCTACACTGTTGGTACTTGTATACCCCTCAGGTCATTGCTGTGTCTTCTCTTTCCCTCTCTCTTTCTTCACACACACACAACGCACACACACACACACACACACACACACACACACACACACACACACAACACGCACACACACACACACACGCACACACACACACACACACACACACACACACACACACACACACACACACACACACACACGGTTGGCCGTATTTAACAAACCAGAAAAAACTCATGCTTATTTTGCGCAAATAACTTTTCCATTTAAAAAATCGAATTATTTGACGTAAAGCGCTGAACCCGTGACGACAGTTTAACGAACGCTGTAGCATTGGAGGCTCAATCCTCCGTCCACAAATCACGGCCCTGTCTCTGAACATTAAGGCTGTTGGTGAAATTAGGCAACATATTTAAAAAAAAAAAAGTATTTGAGCTTCAGAAAGTTCGTTGAAGGTAAATGGCCAACTGTAATGGATAAGTGTAATCCGAAAATGTAATGGAAATGTGTAATAACTGTAAAAGGCTGTTGATCCATTCTCATCTTCTTTTGATTCAACTTGATTATTTTTCTCGTTTCATTAGACCTTTAGAGTTTAATGCTTCCCCATGAATATAATAATAATAATAATAATAATAATAATAATAATAATAATAATATAATAATAATAATAATAATAATAATGCAATAATACTACTACTAATAAAAATATTAATAATACTAATAGTGGTCGAGATTATCTCTGGTATAGATATATTTCACTTTATTACTCACACAATGTAGAACAGCAATTACAAAGAGAATTATTACTCAGAATAAATCGCGAAATTTCATGATTTTTAATGCCAGCAATGTTAATTATTATTATTATTATCATTATTATTATTATTATTATTATTATTATTATTATTATTATTATTATTATTATTATTATTATTATTTTAATTATTCTTATTAAAATTATTAAAATTATTATTAAAATTATTTTATAATTGTTATTAATGCCATAATCTTTGGAAAACGCTAAGCAGATTGAGGTTGTATAGCATATGAGGAATGAGTGATAATTTGGTTTGATCAAATGAAGGAGACTGTAGCTGCAGTTCACTGGATCAAGAGCCCTTCACCAGCATCAAGGCAGTTCCCTCTCAAGGTTCACACGTGAGCAAATCTGTTAATTTAAATGGTATAAAGAATCCTTTTGATTAATAGTCTGCCAGGCAGACAGGAAATCATGCCATTAATCCTCATTCAGTTTTAATTAATCTGTTCTGGGATTAATACTGAATGAAGAATCGAGAAAATTAATAATGCAGGAATGTATAACAGTTGAGCTGTTTATTGAAATGAAGTTGGAGAATATCTATAATATTACACTTGTAAGGTGATATATGAATGATAGCTGTAGGCCTTTCGTGTTGCAATCAGCACATCATCAGGAGCTTTCTGTGTTGCAGAAATTACATAAATAACGTTACCTACCAAATGTAGAAAACGGGTCCATTTAAAGGGAAACATCTGTAATTTATTCTAAGGAAGACGGCCATAGTATACTCCACGAATTATTTTTTAATTGTCATATTACGTTCGTTAGGTTACTACTATAATAATAGTGCTTGTGCGCTGGCTGGCTGTCTTCTAATGCTATAATATTCAATCTCTCTTGCTATGGGCATTGGGGTAATTTTTGCCTCCTGCCTCCTGCCTCCTGCCTCCTGCCTCCTGCCTCCTGCCTCCTGCCTCCAGCCTCCTGCCTCCTGCCTCCTGCCTCCTGCCTCCTGCCTCCTGCCTCCTGCCTCCTGCCTCCCGTCTCTCTGCTACATGTGAACAAAGGCGCTCCCTCTGATCATATTTCCTTGGACCTCCTCCTCTTTTCTACAACACTGGAAGCTTCTGGTGATGTGTTGATTGTAATACGAAAGGCCTAAAACTATCATTCAATTCCCCCCGTGGTTGTTTTGCATCTTGTATCGCTTGTTCGTATATTATATATATATATATATATAAATATATATATATATATATATAATATATATATAATATATATATATATATATATATATATATATATATATATATATATATATATATCTCCATGGGGAAGTGGAACAGAATTCTTCCTCCGTAAGCCATGCGTGTTGTAAGAGGCGACTAAAATGCCGGGAGCAAGGGGCTAGTAACCTCTTCTCCTGTATATATTACTAAATGTAAAAGGAGAAACTTTCGTTTTTCCTTTTGGGCCACCCCGCCTCGGTGGGATACGGCCGGTGTGTTGAAAGAATGAAAGAAATATATATAATATAGTATATATATATATATATATATATATATATATATATATATATATATATATAAATATATATATATATATTTCTTCAGTCTACTTCACTGGTGGTTAACAGGCTCTATACGGCTATAATGGTCTTCATGTTCTCAAAAGAATTTATAGATTAACCAATGTGCCACCAGTCATTTAAACCCACATAACGCCACCTCCACAATGTATCTGTTCACAAACTCATTAATAAAATTATGGAACTGTCATCAGTTACAAAACAATTAGTTTTTGTGTCCGATCCAGATAATTAACTCTATGGCACCATTCAACCTGGCCAATTTTAATAACTGTTTGTTTTAATGCTATCTAGGTTATTATTTTTTGAGTGACTTTTTTGAAAAAAGAAAATATTAGGAATTTCTAATACAAGTTTTTTTTTTTATTTATAAATATTACTTTCATGAACTTCTATTCGCCTGGAAATCTATCTATAGAATTCAAAAAAAAATCCACAGATTGAAAATTAATTAATAATAATAACAATAATAATAAAACTACTACTACTACTACTACTATTAATAATAATAATAATAATAATAATAATAATAATAATAATAATAAATAATTAAAATAATAATACTAATAATGCTAAAAAATATTTCTATTGTATTTAAACTACGAGATTCACTTATCTTGTTAAATGTATAAGCAGTGTAAAACCACTTGAGATATATTTAATGTGCAAGAAAGAATAGTTCTGTATTGTGAATGTAATAAAGGTTTTGTAAGTAATGGAAAAGGTAAAATAAAAAAAATCACAGGAAATGGTTTATTCTGAGAACAAACGTAAGTATGTCCGTCTGTCTGCGTCAGCAACGGGAGCATCGCCACCGTCAGCATAACCGTCAGTAGAATCATCGTCAGCGCTCCTTTCATCACCACAGTCGTCAACATTTGCCTCACGCCAGCCAGGAGCTGACATCAGCAACGGGACTTAAGACTTTTCTTTCTCCCCGACCATCCATTATTAAAAGAAAAATATTTGCTCGAATCAAGGTCGGCGTCTTTAGTACCAGATAAACGTTTCTCGAAATTTTTGAATGACCATTTTTATATATATATAAAAAAAATAGATTTATGAAGTGAAGAATATACATACTTCAGCCTAAACATATAAAATTTATCACACTTAAATATACACATATATTATACCACACACCCCTATACATATTAATTTTTACATCAACATTAATGAAAAAAAATATATCTTTAAACGTATGAGAGAAATTTTTTAGAAAGGACTTAATTTTAAATGAGTTCTTGCTCACTGATCAGCCTTACCTATTTGACACGACTTATATATATATATATATATATATATATATATATATATATATATATATATATATATATATATATTGGTGTGTGTGTGTGTGTGTGTGTGTGTGTGTGTGTGTGTGTGTGTGTGTGTGTGTGTGTGTGTGTGTGTGTGTGTGTGTGTAATGTATGTACATATGTTATAATATATAAGTTATTTTTATTAACAGAGCGGCGGTTTCCCACCGAGGCAGGGTGGCCCGAAAAAAAAACTCTCATCATTTACTTCATCACTATCTTGCCATAGACATGTTGACACTACAGTTATAAAACTGCAATATTAACTCCCCGCCTTCAGAGTGCCGACACTGTACTTTCCATCTGCAGGACTCATGTTCGACCTGCCGGCTTCCCTGTAACAGCACGTCGAGTTCTAAAAACCATTTGTCTCCCTTTGCTCCTATCTAGCATGCTCGTGCACGCTTGCTGGAAGTCCAAGCCTCTCACACACAAAACCTCCTTTACCCCCGCCCTCCAAGCTTTCCTAGGCCGACCCCTACCCCGCCTTCCCTCCACTACAGATTTATACACTCTCGAAGTCATTCTTTTTCGTTC